ATTGAACATTGAACCCTATGTGTAAAGTGACGCAGTCGTCATTTTCAAAAACTAAAGGACCACGCACGGATCTTATGAGAAAATAGTATTTTACATACCGAGGTGGAAAGGTTATAGAGTTAACTAAACTAACTAAAAATCTCCAGGATCTTCTGGTACATTAATTTAATTCATAACCAAAAATGACATATTTTTGGCATTTTTCCACCCGTTTTTAACCTAAAATATGTCATTGCCTGAACTCAACATATTTTGAAATGTTTATTTGTCAAAATTTTGTATATTAACCCAGCCCTGTATCTCCAAAACTAATCATAGGATCTTTTTGGGCCTACGAGAACTTACATTCAGGAGATCGAGAAGCATAACATATTTCAATTTGATGAAAATCGTGAAATTTATTTTTTCTCATAAGATCCGTGCGTGGTCCTTTAAACATGGCGCGGCCTTAATACTGTCCACTTTCTTGACACATTGGTAATTAGGTCGACTAATAATAATAAAATTTTAGACTGGTACCAAAAACTCATATTCAAATCACCCCATGAACCAGAAGTACAATCACGGTCATAGCTATGTTCCAATAAACTTCAAATATAAAAAACTCTCATGTACCAGGTCTGACTAACAATGTCATTAAGCATTTTAGGCAGTGTTGCCGCGAGACAAACCAATTCTGTACTAAAATCTGCAATGATTTGTACTAGATCACCTGAAAATGTACTAAATTTTCATTCTAACAAATTTAAGAATTGACAGGTGGCGTGTAACGTATAATCCTTGCGTTCCAATATCCATTCGCGAGCATATAGATATTTTATCACGTGATTTAAAATTGATTTGAAATGAATTATACACGTGATAAATGTCAAAACTGTCAAAATTTTCATCGGGATGCTCATTGTATATTCAATTATTCACATCACGTTAAAATCTTATACCTGAAATATTGAAAAATAGTAGGTTACTTTGATATGAAAATAGCGTCACAACCAACTCAAATATCCAAAATATCTGAGTTTTTATGAAATCTATTTCTGTTTTTTTTTTTTTTTTGTAATTTTTGAGTCGTGACATCATTCATCTGAATAAACGCTAATACAATACCATTAAAAAAGCTCATTCACAGTATATCGAAATTCGCGTTTTTTTAACATTTGATTTGATATTGTGACATTAAATGCGTGTATCAAACGTCAAACTTTAGAAACAAATAAAGAAAAAAACTCGAATTTCGCCCTACTGTGAATGAACTTTAATACTTCATTCGTAGTTTTCTCTTTTTCTTTTTCTAACATTTTCTGGTTTTCTCGGCGATCCGCTTCTAGAGTTATGGGTTAAGAAATGTACTAAAATTATCGATGGTGTACTGACGTATTAAATCACAGAAGATTGTACTGAATCTAGTACAAATGTACTAAAAACGGCATCACTGATTTTAGGGAATTCTAAAACATAAGGATTGCTAATTGCTGAATAAAATATAATTCAAAAACAATAGGAAAAATATTCACAAAAATAAAAGATAAAACCCCCTATGGCAGAACTGTAATGTCGTTTATAAGATACCCTGTGCACAGTGTAATAAATGCTATATTGGACTTTAAGGCAAAGAATTATGCAACATAAAAGTGACAGTCGGATTGGCAAAATATATTTTTTTCTGTGACGGGAAAAAAGTAGACTTCTTGTACATGTTGACAGAGGCAAAAATGTCACTTTTTCTCCCATGGGAAAAAAGTGATTTTTTTTTCCCACGGGAAAAAAGTAACAGGTACCAGTCAATTTTTTTTCTGAAAGAGAATACTGTATAGATGGAAAATGGTGAGATTTTTCCGTCACAGAAAAAAATAGTGTATTATACCGGGTGACAACGAAATCGTTATACAAGGCGTCATTCAGTTGTCTTTGAAGTTAAAAATTTGAAAATTGGGTGGAACGGGTAAGTCATTGAGACGCACATTTTTCGTAAACAAAACATTTGAATATCACTTCCGGTTACTCCGGAAATGCACCCAAGTCAAGAAATTTTCATGGAACCCTGTATATTTTTTTACACAGTTGGATAGAGCTTAAAATTTCCTTTCCAAGATGGCGGCGTAAGAAGGTATTTTTCTTAAATTCAATATGGCGGCATTCTGACGTAACCGATAATGTTTCTGTCAAACAAACACTTTTAACAATCGATAATTTTTAGATGTGAAATGGTTTTAGATCGAATTTGAAAAAAAAAAGGATTTTGCTCAAAAAGAAGGGCATTTCAGAATTTCTTTGAAATACAAATTTTAGTTTCAAATTTTCTATGAATTTTGAATAGGAAGAGGTACCTATTAAATTCTAGAATTAAAGTGTGTCTAATGGCCTACCGAAAAATGTCTACCAAAATGCATATTCATTTTTCGGTTAGGTATTCAAAGGTTAGGTCAGAATGCCGCCATATTGAATTTAGGAAAGTGCCTTCTCACGGCGCCATCTTAAAAACAAATTCCACTTATCATATGTCATTGAGAAGGGAATTTTAAGAACTGTGTAAAAAAATATACAGGGTTCCATAAAAATTTCTTGACTTGGGTCCACAAACCACACCTCGCGCTAAAATCTAGTACTTTTTTCCCTTGTATAATAAATATCTAACTATTGCTTTGGCCTGTCATTCTCAGGACTTGAACCATAATTTCGACTTCAATAACATAAAAATTCTTGACCATCAAAATAATTATAAAAGCGTTTGTTCCTAAAGATGGTTCCATAATAAGAATCCTAACGCACTTAATTCCAGATTGATAAATTAAGTACCATTTAGGTACTACAATGTTTTAAATTAGAAGATTCTTTTATAATACGCTGTTTGTCATGTTTGGTAGTTCGAATTTCCATTGATAAGTATCTATCAAATTATTTTTTTTACTACTAACCTGAGAAATAGTTTTTATTCAATCTATTTTTCTAGGGAAAAATTGAATTTCTCTCCCTAGGTTAATAATTAAAATAATGAAAAAATACCTAGGTTAATAATGAAAATGACGTCATGACGCAAGGATATTGTCATATTTTTATTGGTCCATTTTCAATTTCATACGTCAAATAAAAAAGAATACAGGTTTCTGTAAGTACATAGGAAGTTATCATAAGCTGTTGATAGATGGCACCACTTTCAAGAGCACAGATTACAAATTATTCATTTTCCACTAGCTGTAGCAACAAAAAATCTATATATTCCTAGGTAGAGAAAGTCATTATATAGATACCTCACGCATCACGCATTATAAACCTCAACATATTTTAGGGGAGCCCTAACGATAAGTAGGTATTCCCTAAAATGACATTTTTCCCTAAAATAATTGGTGGAAATGGCCATTAGCATTAGAAAAATTGAGAAGAAAACGAAAATTCAAGATCCGGGAATAGACAAAATATGAGATGGAAAAATTGAAAAATAAAGAATAAATAAATACATACTTAGATAATAATAATAGTACCTGAGTAAACATCAAAAAAATTGTAAAAATTTGGCGGCAGGGGCGTGGCTAAATATTCATATTCAAAATTTGCAAGAATATGGCGGCGGTACCGAATTTCTATTTGAAAAGGTTAAGTCACTGTAAGTGGGCCAAGACCATTGGAAAGGTTTGAAAAGGAAACAATCAATCAAATACCTTGACGATATATAAACCTCGGAAAGGGGCGGGGCTCAACTAACCAATTAAATACCCTGCTGATATCACTCGCATCTGATTGGAAAGGGGCGGGGCTTATATCGAACCTATCAAATGCTTTGTTGATATCCTTGCGTTTGATAACGAGTCAGCCACAGTGTTGCCAGCTTGAAAAAATTATCTCCTTTTTGAGGAAATTTTCTATTTTCGTTCGCAAAGGATAGAAGCGGAAAGCGGAATTTTTAAAGTCTGTTTTTTTTTAAAGATAAAAGTCAAAATGACATTATGTTGGCAAAACAATGTTACATTGTCGATGCTTTTATAAATTTTTTATGTAGAGAAGAAGGCTTGTGTTGCCAAACATAGTTAGGTACTAAATTTTTGACTTGGGGAATTATCTTCAAAAAAAAAAAACAGACTTTACTTTTTCTTTTATTTAATCGCAAAATTTTCATATTCAATGAAAAATTTGTAATTTTAAGTTTCTAGCACACGATATAGGTACAATAGGTATACAGGATGGGCCATTGAACTTAAGACATTATTGAACTTTTTTTTTCAAAAACGCGCTATTTTCGAGATATTGATATGTCTTAATTTAAATGGACCACCCTGTATAAGTATGGGTACAACATCTCATTCCCAACTGTAAGTGAAGGCGCAATAATTATTTTTTTCCACTACCGCGTGTAAAGTAGGTACTTACGTTACGCACCTTTTAGAAGACATGAAATGTCACGCATTAGTGCGTAAAGTAGTTTATAACACACTTTTCTATATTACCTAATAGGTACTTTATTTTTCTGGAAGTGTTATTAAATCAGTGTATCATACTGTTAAAAGCAGCTAATTTGTGTTAGATAGGATGACAAGAGAATTGTGTATAACTGTATCAGTATGAAATATTGAAAATTCATGTTTCTCTTTCTCGTAGTAGGTATTTCGCCTACAATCATACCTAAATTTCATACCGATAGTTTTTCTGGTTTCCTGGTATTCACATAAGATTCACGTTAATATGATTTTAGAAACCTACGAAAACTTTTAGTTTACATACTATTTACATGAAATGAGCAAATATTTAAGAGAACTTTAGCTAACAAACCTAATCTCCAAGTACCTACCTTGAATAAGCAAACAGTTTTACTTTATTTTCCCCGACTCTTTCTTCAGAGTTTTCTTTCATCGTCTTTTCACTGATGACCAGCTGAATTATCAAACTTTACTTCATAATTGTAGCAAAATATTCCCTTCAAAATAAAAATTTTAAAACCAATGGCGCTTAGAACATTCTCCATTTAATAAAACAGCGCATATGATGTCCAGTTGCATGTCGATCACATAAAACATTCAAAACCTGAAATTTGATGTCGATAAGTTTTTTGTCAGTTGAGCAATGAAATGGAAATCGATGGTAATATCTATCAAGAAAATTTTCAAACATCTAAAATTTCTATTACAGATATTATTCAAGATAAAGCAACCAAAACGATTTCGTCATCTTCTAATAATTACAACCAAACATACCGTGGACTAGGATATGAGTTTTTTGAATCTATGCAACAAAATAAAGACAAAATTGCCCAGGTAATCCAAAATCAATTCAACTTTATGTAATAAAACACACCTAATTTTTAGTATATTGCTGAAACTGGGGAAACTGATACCTACCAGTCTTTTTTAAATCGTTCAATACGCACAGCTTTACATTTAAAAACAAGAAACCTTAACAAAAACGACGTGGTTTGTTTATGCTCATACAACCAAAAGCATAATTGCATACCATTGATTGCCTGTACCTTTTTGGGAATACCTACAGCTTCACTTGATCCTTCTTTTACCATAAACGATGCCTCACATCTCATCAAGCTTATAAAGCCAAAGATATTTTTCATTGTACCAGAAGTGATTGATATGATAACAGAAGCAATGCAAATAGCTGAATTGGATTCTGAAGTGGTTATATATGGCGACACTGAAAAGTTTACTTCGTTTAATGATTTTTTAGCAGAACATCCTGAAGAAGACTCTTTTAGGCCAGTTATAATAGACGATTTATCTGAAACAGCAATAATTTTCTTTAGCAGTGGCACAACAGGTTTGCCAAAGGGTATTTGCAGCAACCACAGAGCAATTTATCACCAAGGAGTTATTATGAAGTAGGAATATTTTTGTTTTGTTTTTGTTTTTTGATACAGAGTTTTTGCAGTCATTTGGGTATACTTGGCAATGATGCAGTAGTTCTACTATTTTCAACCTTATATTGGATATCAGCATTACTCACATTAACTGGCTGCATATTAAAAGGCAGCGCCCGATTGGTTTGCAAGGAATTTGATCCTATAAAAACTTGGTATTTGTTGGATAAATATAAAGTAAAACCACCAATTTAGTAAACATTTTTCTACACAGAGTTATTTTAGATAACATATACATTCCTCGCTCCAATCCAAGCCTATAGAATGCTAACAATTGGCCGTCCAGATGGAATAGATACAACTAGTTTAAATTTAGTTATAACCGGCGGTGCCCATTTTGCCTCAGAGCAATTACACAAATTCAGAGATCTTTTACCAGGCACTTTTGTGAGTCAAGCATACGGCTGCACCGAATTGTCTGGATTCGGTATCGCGTTCAATTTGACCAAAACCAAAGACAGGCTGTTGTTGCATTACAAACCTGAGTCTTGCGGTAGACCTATACCTGGATTACAATACAAAGTGATTTGTGAATTACTAGTAATTCTTGGACTATTAATTTTAGGTTGTAGATCCAGATTCTGACAACCATTGCGGCTTCAACGAGCGTGGAGAGTTGAGAATTAAATCTAATTGTATTATGAGTGGATATTATCGGCAGAATTCGGACACTGCATTTGATGGTGGAGGTTGGTTGAGGACAGGAGACGTGGTTTTTTATGATGAGAATTTCTGTTTTTATATCGTCGACAGGATTAAGGAGATGTTGAAGTTTAGGTCGTGGCACGTGCCTCCTGCAGCACTGGAAATGGTGAGTCAATTGTTGCTGCTCTACCACATTTATGCCTGTTACCTATATGTATATTTGATTTCCTTGGTTGAATTGCATTCATTAAGGAATTTTGATATCTTTGACTTTATTTATGTTCTTTTGAAAAGTTAGGCATCTGCCTCTGCTAGTCCACCTTCTATTTTCTCATCGCATCCTGATCTTTCTGGTTATAAATACTTTTGATTTGATGACTATTATAGGTGATCATCATCCTAAAGGATCGAAAATTTTTGATATCTCTAATAGGTTGTGTCTTTTTGTTCTCAGACTTTCTGGTGATGTGGTAACTTTAAACATGAAGTTGTCATTATAAGGCGACCAAAATACACCAAGTGATTTTTGGATGTCATCTCCGGATAACTCTTGGACGATTTGGTTTTGTTGCAATTTGAGAAGGGCTTGAAGCAGGGCTGGATTGTGACTGGTCCATTTTCTCAGATTGAAACCAGCAGATTGCATCAAATTGTGTAACTGTTGTTGAATTTCTTTTGCCGATTCTAGGTCATGCGCACCTGACAGAACATCATCTACGTAAAAGTTTCGTAAGGTGATTTTGATTGTAATAGGATACTTCGTTTTTTCAGATTTCGCTTATGTTTATGAAGTCCTAATGACTAGGTACCTATGCTGCAGACAGATGCTAATCCATATATGTGACAATGGCTAGCTCGTATTCTATCATTCGGTGTTCGCTGTCAGATCGCCATAAAATTCTCTGGTAAGGTTGATTTCCTTGATGGATTTTTGTCTGTCGATACATTTTTTCTATATCGGCTGTAAAAACTATCTTATGCTGCCTCCATCTTAGCAGGATTGCAGAAAGAGCCTTGGACCAGTGAGCCTCAGAATATTGGATGTTGATTTACTGGAAGCATCAAAAACAACTCGTAGTTTAGTGGTTATACTGTCAATTACAAATACTGCTTGGTGTAGTATACCAGGGTGTATCAGGTATGAGTACAAATATTTCAACATAAGATAATATGGTCCATTTCAAGCTAAAACTGTCCTAGACTATAAATCTTCCTTTTTATCTCGATAAATCTCATCGTAAATTTTTTCTCAGATTTAGTCATCTTCAGATATATACAGTAGGTATCCATTAAAATAAACAGTACCAAGCAAATACAAATTATATCATTTATTAATTTGTATCACGCGTATTAGTCCAGGAGCTGGCGTCGAAAATATGCAAGAGTTTTCGCAAGGCTCATATTTTCAGAATGAGTAGTATTTTAGTGCTACAAAGCTAGGCTACAGTCAGCAGTTCTAGTTCCGGGACACCTGGAGCTGAGATGCGCGCAAAGGTGTATTTTTAATCACCACCTCGCAACAGTTTTCGCAAAGCTGAAAATTTGCAAAGAGCATGCGAATATAATGTAGAACCATAATTTAACAGTCAGACAAAGAAATACGGGGACACGTAGAGTCAGCGCGACTTTGAAGTGGTCAAAAAAATGACGTCACCAAAAGTGTTTTCGCATGGCTGAAATTTGGCAAGGTAATAGTAAAAACAATATATTTATTGAAAAAAACAGTCAGACACTTCTATGTCGGGACCCCGCCAGTCAGCAGTCGATTAGAGTGATATAGGTGGTAGCGCGCGTCATTAGGCATATATCCATGTCGAATAATAATTTCACCAAAAGTGTTTTCGCATAGCTGAAATTTGGCAAGGTAATAGTAAAAACAATATATTTATTGAAAAAAAACAGTCAGACACTTCTATGTTGGGACTCCCTCAGTCAGCAGTCGATTAAAGTGATATAGGTGGTAGCGCTCGTCAATAGAATTTTACTCTATATATATCCATTTCGATGAATAATTTTATTTCTATAATTTAAATTATTTGGAATCGGAAACGGTAAAATACATTTTTTTTTCTCTTAATGAGTAAGTATAAACCTGTAAGTTGCAAGCGTAAGCGCGTATACTTGAATAAGGCGTATATGCATTCGAATTCGGAAACTTCATTATGGTACTGTTAGGTCGAGATTAGGGGAAGGGAAGCGGCAGATGTGATTAGAAATTTTTTTTTTGTATTTTATAAAATCGGCGACGATTATAAGTATTTAATGAAACTACAATAAATATAATTAAAACTGAATTTATTTAATTACTATATACTATCACAGTACTGCTGATTAAATGGTCAAGTAATATTTATACGAATCGGGCTTTTTTCTAACCGCAAACTTTTTAACTGCATGTACAATTTTATTTTACCGTTTCCGATTCCAAATAATTTAAATTATAAAAATAAAATTATTCATCGAAATGGATATTATATATAGAGTAAAATTCTATTGACGCGCGCTACCACCTATATCATTTTAATCGACTGCTGACTGAGGGAGTCCCGACATAGAAGTGTCTGACTGTTTTTTTCAATAAATATATTGTTTTTACTATTACCTTGCCAAATTTCAGCTATGCGAAAACACTTTTGGTGAAATTATTATTCGACATGGATATATGCCTATTGACGCGCGCTACCACCTATATCACTCTAATCGACTGCTGACTGGCGGGGTCCCGACATAGAAGTGTCTGACTGTTTTTTTTCAATAAATATATTGTTTTTACTATTACCTTGCCAAATTTCAGCTAGGCGAAAACACTTTTGGTGAAATTATTATTCGACATGGATATATGCCTATTGACGCGCGCTACCACCTATATCACTTTAATCGACTGCTGACTGGCGGGGTCCCGACATAGAAGTGTCTGACTGTTTTTTTCAATAAATATATTGTTTTTACTATTACCTTGCCAAATTTCAGCTATGCGAAAACACTTTTGGTGAAATTATTATTCGACATGGATATATGCCTATTGACGCGCGCTACCACCTATATCACTCTAATCGACTGCTGACTGGCGGGGTCCCGACATAGAAGTGTCTGACTGTTTTTTTCAATAAATATATGGTTTTTACTATTACCTTGCCAAATTTCAGCCATGCGAAAACACTTTCGGTGACGTCATTTTTTTGACCACTTCAAAGTCGCGCTGACTCTACGTGTCCCCGTATTTATTTGTCTGACTGTTAAATTATGGTTCTACATTATATTCGCATGCTCTCTGCAAATTTTCAGCTTTGCGAAAACTGTTGCGAGGGTGTTGATTAAAAATACACCTTTGCGCGCATCTCCAGCGCCAGGTGTCCCGGAACTGGAACTGCTGACTGTAGCCTAGCTTTGTAGTACTGAAATGCTACTCATTCTGAAAATATGAGCCTTGCGAAAACTCTTGCATATTTTTCGACGCCAGCTCCCCGACTATATATACTTCACAACGATTCTGCAAATCATTAAAAATATTTATTGAGAGTAGTTGTTGAAATTTTTCTGAGACTTGTTTCAAACTTGAGCCTTTATTCCTTCCAACTCCGTATAACCGGAAATAGTGCTCTATCAAGAAAATATATTTCTTCAGTTAAAAGATACATCACACAACCGATACATGTTAGAGTTATTTTGTGGAATAAAGCCAGAATAAAGTTTTACTATTAGAAATAAACTAAAGATTTTAAGGCTGGTTCATGCATATATTCTTTTTCCGTTTCGTTAACTATTTCCTTATGCATAAGCTTTTCTTTTTCCGTAAAATTTAAGGTATTTCATGCACCAAAAATTAAGAGTTTTCATTAGTCTTTAATAACGACATTGTTGACGTGTATGGGAAACTGCGAACGGTTTCAATAAGATTTCCTATGTTAATTGACATAATATTTGGTTTTATCAGGGTGTTATAAATATTATTTCCAATTCCAGACACGTATCTCAAGACGTATTTATTGTTAACTTTTACCGATTTCCTATTTTTGAGGTTAAGTCGAAAAATTTGGATATTTTCATCTACTGCGCAGGCGCCGTCGATTTTATCTGTAACTTTATCCGTAAAAGGGCGGTTACACACGGACGTGGATGTCTTAATACATATACGTGCAAACAACAACGTGCACTGCGCTTTTGTACAGACGCTCGCACAAAACTGCAGTTTTGCTATTCTTGCTACAGTATTCCGAGTGTGCATACAAAATTGCACATTCAAAAACGCGACGGTATTGTGCATACACATTGATGTTTTTGTTTGCACGTTCATGTATGTGCGTACATGTTTTCAGACATCCACGTCCGTGTGTAACCGCCTAAAGATGAAAGTCAACTATCTCCAATAGAGAATAAAGAAAGAAAAAAACACCTGCATATAAATACATGCAACTTATACATTACTTACGGATATAGATAGCGACTAAGTTAGAGAAACGGAAAATATTTTCATGCATGAACCAGCCTTTATTAATAATAAAACATTCTACCATGAAGATTACAACAACATTGCTATATCGATAACCTCACTTTGTTGACGTTACTAACATCTGAGAGATATCTGTTGTGACAATTGATACTACTAGAGCAGGCGTGGCTAAACGAACACTTATCGTAACACTCCTCCTCGATTTACAAATTTAACCTAAAATTGTACATCGCAAAATATCAGCTCTCTATGTTTACAAAAACGAACTTACAACACTAGAAAACTATATCTAAAGAATTTACATTTTTCAATTTTTAATTAAAGAACAAATATTATTGAATTTTTCCTTACACAAGGGTTTTGTCAAAATGTCAGCAATATTATTTTCACTGTTAACATACTGCACATCTAACACTTTCTTTAACAACATATCTTCTTTAATGTCAGTATGTTTTCCGCGTTTCGAATTTTCATAACTCTTTGCCATCGAAATCGCACTTACATTGTCCATTTTTAGCGTTATATATTCAATTTTGTAAAATTCCGAAATTATCCCTTTCAAGTTCACTACTTTTTGTGCCCCTGCCACGTATTCTGCCTCTGCGGTAGACAGCGCCACACATGTTTGCTTCTTAGAAAACCAGCTGATTGGATTCCCAGCATACAGTACTATAGAGCCACTTGTACTCTTTCTGTCGGTTTTGTCTCCAGCCCAATCTGAGTCGAAATATGCTACTAAGTTTTCTGCACCCTTCGTATACATCAATCCAGTATCAACAGTATTTTTCATATACCTCAGGATTCTTTTGCCTGCAGTCCACAACACTTGAGTTGGTTTGTCCAAATATCGCCTAAGATAGGACACCGCATACAAAATATCCGGTCTGGAAGTGCGTGCCAAATACATCAGCGATCCAACTAACTTTCTGTATGGGACATCAATGATTTCTTCTGATTTTTCAACTTGAAAACCTGTTATCATAGGTGTTGACACTCCTTTACAGTCTGCCATACCAAAATCTTGTAGAATTTTATTAATATACTTTTTCTGAGTGATACTCATGTTTTCAGAAGTTCTTGATATCTCCATTCCAATTAATCTTCTAATTTCACCCAAATCTTTGGCATTGAGTTTGTTCTTCAAATTATTAACTACATCCTGTACTTTATTTTTGTCTCCTGTGATAATTAAATCATCTACAAAAACAATAAGCCACACATCTTTCTTACTTTCAAAGTCTAAATCTTTCATTATCTCATTAAATTGGTTATTCCAACACTTTGGACTCTCCTTCAGCCCATACAGAGCTCTGTTGAGCTTCAAAACTTTGTTTTTGTCTTCATTTACGCCGTCTGGTATTTTTATGGTATACTTCAGATTCAAGTTTTCCATTCAGAAAACTACTTGGAATGTCAAGTTGACGCACATTCCAATTCTGTTGTAGAGCATGTACTAGAAATGCCCTAATCGTTGACAATCTGGCAACTGGTGCATACAAAGGTGTAAAATCATTCTCCTTTTGAATCTGGAAGCCCTTGGTTACTAATCGAGCCTTCTTTGTACCATCTTCCTTTGTTCGGAAGACCCATCTTGTATCAATTGCATATTTATTTTCAGGAAGTTTAGACAAAGTCCAAGTTTGTAGATTGCTAAGAGACTTCAATTCATGGTTGATGGCATCTTGCCATTCAGAATTTTTCTGAGCTTCTGAAAATGTTTGAGGATCCTCCTGTGATTCTGTAACATCCAAATATGTAGCATATATCTCATAATTTTGATGATACTGAGGTTTATGTACCTCTCTACGAGTTCTTGTTAGAACAGGCTCTGCATCAGTTATCTCCTCCTCAATTTCTATTTGTACATCTTCAAAGTCACTGCTGTCTTCATTTTGAACAGAACCAAACTGAGAACTTTCATCAAAACTATTTTCTTCATTTTGTTCTTCATTTTCTTTAATTTTTACTGGCCATACAATTGTTTTGTCTTCTTTTATCTCTGTATTTCTTTCTTTGGTATTTTTCTCTACCTCTTTTCCTTCAAAAAACACATCTCTACTAAAAATAATTTTCTTAGTATTTGGATTAATCAGCCTGTATCCTTTTTTATTTTTTTCATAACCCATAAAAAGCAACTTCTGTGATTTAGGATCCCATTACTTCCTCAACTCATCTGGCACATGTGCCATAGATTCACAACTAAAAATGTTCAGCTCTGATAAGTTGGGTTTTTCTTTATTCCAGACTTCATAGGGAGTTTTCCCAAGTACTGCTTTTGTTGGTGATCTATTTATGAGATAGACTGCAGTGTTAACTGCTTCGCTCCAATATTCTTTCGACAAACCAGCATCAGACAACATACTACGAGCTCTCTCACAAATTGTCCTATTCGCCCTCTCACTAACCCCATTTTGTTGCGGAGTGTATCGAACAGTTGTCTGGTGTATAATACCAGAGTTATCAAGTACCTTCTTGAATTTCTTATTAACATATTCAGTATACCATTGTCAGTTCTGAGCATTTTTATTTTAGAGTCAGTCTGATTCTCAACAAGTTGCTTAAATTGTTGAAAAACTTCAACTACTTGACTTTTTTCTGATAGAAAATATGTAAATATAAATCTTGAAAAATCATCAATTAGAGTGAAAATGTACTTACAGCCGCCTATTGATGCTACTTTCATTGGCCCACAGAAATCTTACTTGACTTTCTCATGCTGCAATGGAATGTTTGCCTTCGACACAGGAAATACACGGCTCTGAAGATATATTTATTTTGTTCAAACCAGTAGACATACTTGCCAGCAACTGCATTGCCTTTCTATTCAAGTGGCCAAGTCTTCTGTGCCATAAATCACTTGAGTGTTCACTTACACAAGAATACATTGGTAGACCTCCATTTTGACAGACATTGGTATTGGTACTTAACTGATAAATACTATTTTGCTCAAACCCTGTTTCAACAACTTGGTTCGACATGTCAATAATCCTTGCTTCAGACTTGTCAAAAATGACCTTGTGCCCTTTTCGGATAATTTTACTGATCGACAACAAATTTACTGCTGCTTCAGGAGCATACATAACCTCATTTGCAGGAACCACCTTATCTTGACCATTTATTTTCACACTGATGTCCACTGTCCCTTTCGATACAATGTTTATGTCACTACCTATTACTTGCAGTCTTAATTTTGCCACTGTTTTTGGTAGAATTCATAAACCAGTCATTATTTTTAGTCAAATGGATAGAGGCACAAGAGTCTAAGAACCATGCATCACTGTTTACTTGCTATGAAGATAAACATGCTAGAAAAGCTGTGTTGTTACTTTTCTTTCTTTCACACTCTGATTACCTTGTGAGTTGCCTGCTCTACATTGAGACTTATAGTGACCCATTTTGCCACATCCAAAGCACTTCACTTTGTTTCTTGTGAACTTTTTACCTGAACCTCTTTCTGAGTACATTACTGCATTCGAGCCAGCTGATTTTGGATCAGAACTTGATTTAACATCTTGCAGCAACTTCACTTTAATTGAATCACCTGTAATCTGTGTTCCACTACTTTCAAGGCCCATTATCATTGGCCTGTATTCTTCCGGCAACCCTGCCAGCAAGAGAGTGCCGACCCATGTGATGTTGAAATGATGGTGTCACAATATTCTTCTACTGAACTACAGTCTTCTAACTTGGTAGTTACTAAAGCCCTTAAAAGACCAATCTTTCTTGTTAGTCCTGAATCTTCAAAAGCTTTTTCTAAGTTTTGCCTTTGCCAAGCATCTTTAGCTTTTGCAGCAGTCTTCAAATGGGAATAATTTAACTTATCCACAGACAAGATTATTTTAGAAAGTGCTTTCTTGTCTTTCTTCTCATCCACTTCGGTACCTTCGATAACTTTCCACAAGTCATCTTATTCTAAAAGTGCCTTCATAGCGAACTTTCACTCGCTATAATTGTCCCGACCAGTCAATTTATCAATCGACACAAATGATGATGAACTGCTTGCTATTTTCTTTTGAGTGTTAGCACAAAACAAAACTTTTAATTTACACACTGACTTTTGGCATATCTGGGCCCATAACCTGTTAAGAGTTATTTTGTGGAATAAAGCCATTTTTTTTTGACCTGGCAACAGTGCTTTGAATAAATTATTACAACCACATAGGATCTGATTCAGTCGAGATATTAGTTTAAAGTTTAGTGTTTATCTCGGAAAACATAAGTTTTGCCTATATATTTGTCAATTTTTGGTTACAGGAATAATAATCTTGAAGCTATAAAATTCGATACTTTTCTGGCTCAAGTGCTTTTTACCCTCGAACAGATTAGGCCTTTCGCAGAACTCCATGTGTTTGTAAATTTCATCATAGGGTCACATTTTAGCTATCTATAAAAATAAAACTTTTCCCACGAATAATGAATTTGAACCGAGAATATAAATTTATTGTTATTGAATTGTTACACACTTGATGCCCAACTTTGCCTTTTTAGGTACTCCAAGCACATCCTGCCATTAAGCAATGCAGTGTTATTGGAATCCCAGATGAAGTTGACGGCGATTTACCTTTAGCGGTGATAGTTTTAAACAATAATTACACTGTTACTGAAGAAGATATTAAAGAGTTTGTGGCCGAAAGGGTTAACGATACTCACAAGCTTAGAGGGGGTGTTAAGTTTTTGGAATCCCTACCAGTGACGCCTTCTGGTAAAGTCAAGAAAAAGGAGATTAGGGATTTGGTACTTAGAGGGTCAATTTAAAACAATGTAGTTTCACTTAACAATAATATTTACTTCAATAAAACCTTTTGAAAACATTAAATTGCATTGCTACTAAGGAATAAGTGATGACATTGTTGAGAACCTAGAAAAACATTAATAGAAAACTTGTTAAGATTAGTAGAGTATTACTTACTGCAGGTATTACTTTTTTGTGTAGTGTAAATGTATCAGCAGCAGTAAGAGTTGGCTTGTAATTAATCAAATTATTAATAAGAGCCTCAGTCTTCAAAAAACTCAAATAACATTTTAATCAAACTCAGAACAAAATTACTTACTAGTTGAGATTCTTCTTCTGTCAACTGACTGATTGGATATTTATACAAATAAGAAATAAACCCATCAGCCTATAATAATACAAAACCTTCAACCAAATATTTAAAAACCAATATAAATACTTACAACATTATAAACATCAGTACTTCGTTTGAGAAAAAAATACGTAATACCAATTATAAAAATACTTTGAGTCAATACAAAAATAGAATTAATAGTAACTGTAACATCATGATGTATGAGCACAAATGATAAATACAAAATAATAAACACTTGATAAAAAATAACACTAATAAAATGAAAAGAATTAAATATAACATTAGTATTAATCAAAACGTGATTTTGATAATTCAAAATACAACAGGCGTAGTAATTTTGATACTGGCGCAATTTGTTAGCAAAATCTGGATTACAATATTCAAACTCTTTTCGCAATAGCTCTAATAAACTTTGAAAAATATTTTCATAAACATACAACCAATAAATCAAATGGAAACTAAAATAACCCCCATACATTATGTTGAAGCAAGACGAAATAGCTTGCATAAAACTCAAAAAATTGTAACCATTAATTTGAATCTTTATAAGCATTCTTATTGAAGCTACAATAAAAATACCCAATATAACACACAAAGAAACGTTTTGAGTTGTGTTTATAAGCTTTTGATTGAACAAAGCTGGAATTCCAAAACGTTTTCTTTGAGAAATAAGCTGGACAATTCCATTAAAGTATTTGACATAGTCGTTGCGTTTTTTGACTATCGTCAGCATTAAAATTAATGCCCAAGTGATACCTGAAAAGTCGAAGAGGTTGCTTATGAAGCATTGCTGATCCATTTGGGCGAAGATTAGCATGTAAAATAAATAACACCTATTAAAAATTATTAGATATTTGTATTTATAATACATTACCATGTCAATATTACTATGGAATTTATAGCCAAATACAACCATAATCTTGCAGGGGTTGTGTAAACTTTTGCTTTAATGGCTTTTTTGTGCAAGTGAGGGCATTCTGCACCGATTAGTACTGATACGTTTATTATTATTTTATATGCGCAAATTAAACACTCTTGGACTTTTGGAAAAATTATGAAAGGATATTTCCAGATGAGCTTCATTATAAGAATAATGTCCAAATTCATATACTAACAGTAGTAATGGGTAAATTTAGATAAATTGATTAAGATAATGAAAATAGTACTCGATTTATTTTTATTACCACCGCTTAGTTGTTTGACTCTTTTATCCTGCTATAATCGAAATTACTATTTATTGGATTGGCAACTCCTGCAGCTCCACCACTTAATGTCCCTAAGGCACTTAGACCACCAAAAATTGAAATAAGTGGTAGTAAACCACCTGTTGAGAGGTAATAAGTACCCTGTACACGTGTAACAATAATGTACACCAGCAACGTTTTGGTTAAAACGCTCAAAGATGTAACACCGATAACGTATTTCATATGGGGGATTTACTCTGTTGGAGGCCTGTGGCTTTAAATCGGTATATAGAGCATCGGCATAGGACGAATACAACTTACGGGGTAGAGGTAAAATGAAAAAGGTGTTACATTAATGTACACTATGAAAAAATGGGGTTAGGGGGGGAAGGGGTTAAAATAAAACTAAATTAACAATTCAGAACAATTTATCTCGTCAATATACATCATAATATCATTGTGGCCCACGACGAAAAAATTGAAAATATCTTTGGCGGCGAGAGTGTTAAGGGTATTCCCAGAACTTCAAGTGAATTCGAGGAGATCCAAAAAATTCAGAAGGTACCTATCTGAGAAGATCCAGGGAAGAATTTAGAATATGTACTGGTTAAAGATATTTGTATAACAAGAGTATCTGAAGAAGCTCCATAACTGAGTCAGGTTAATTTTACTTGAAAAAGTCATTTTTTCAAAATTTACATAGCATTGCAAAAAATTATTGGAAATTACGTTTTACGAAAAAATAATAAATATCACGAGAATTTCAAAAGTAACGGAAATTTCAAAAACTTACGGGAATTATCATTATTGAAAAATAAAATAAAGAAATTACGGGAATTAAAAAAATAACAAAAATCACGAAAATCATAAAAAATTACGGAAATTAGGAAAATCATAAAAAAAAAATTAGGACAATCAGAATAATTATAGGAATTGCAAAAATTACGGAAATTACGAAAAATTGAAAAAAAAATATCGGAAATAACACAAAAATTAAGGAATTTGTTAATTAACGAAAATTAAGGGAATTGCAAAAATTGCAGAAATTACGAAAAATTTCGGGACTACCGAAAATAATTAAATTTTTAAAAAATTATGGAAATTAGAAAAGTTACAAAAATTACGAAAATTCTGGATATAAATCACGGAAATTTATTAACGAAATTATAAAAAATCACGGGAATTACGAAAAAGTTACGGGAATTACGAGAATTAGAAATTAAAATTACAAAAATTACAAAGGCTTTCGGGAAACGATACAAATTTTGAAAAATGCCCAGAATAAATAAGGAAATTATGGGAATTACCTACTAATTTTCGAAATATACAAGTACGTGGAATTAATAAAATAACGGAATTTCTGAGAAACTACGGGAATTAAAAAATTACGAAAATTTGAAGAACAACAGGAATTGATAAAAAATTATAAGAATTATTTGAGAAATGACAGGAATTAAAAAATTTCTAAAGAAAAATTACGAGTCTTCGAAAATTACAAATTTTGCTATAATGAGCTCTTTATTTTCTTCTTTTTCTGGAAAATTTTCACAATTTTCTTGCCAGTTTCCCAAAAAGAAATTAAAATGTAAGAGGGTGCATTTTGCCTAAAAAAGTCAATTTCTCAGAATTTTTCCTGGAGTGATTTTTGACTGGAAAATTTTGAAATTTTTCTATAATGAGCTCCTCACTTTTCTTTTTCTTCTGAAAACATTTCACAATTTTCCTTTTGCCAGATTTCTAGAAACAAATTAAAATGTAAGAGGATGAATTCTCCTTAATTTTGCTTAAAAGTTAGTTTTTCAAAATTTTTCCTGGATTAATTTTTTCTGAAAAATTTTGAAATTTTCGTAAAATGAGCTTCTCATTTTCCTTTTATTACTGAAAAATTTTCAAAATTTTCCCTTTGCCAGTTTTCCAGAAAAAAATTAAAATGTAAGAGGGTGAATTTTTTTTAATTGCTTAAATAAGTCAATTTTTTAGAACATATTTGAGATTTCAGTTGTAAAAAAAAAGAATCACCCTTTGTCGTTTGTACATGATATTTAGGAACACCCTGTATAATACTGTCACAATAAGCTAAACGTCCGCCAGGCTGTCAAGAATCTCTCGGTATTATCTCTTGAGTATACTAGAATCTAGTGAATTATTCTACTTAATTCGGGAAAATAATATTATCGTGTATTCTAGATTTTACAGGAATAGATTTAGGGATATATAAGAAGGCCGGCATTGGTTTGTAGTTAGTTTCAGTTCGAGTGTGATACGATTTAAATAGTGATTGTAAAGAGTTGAATTGTTGAGTTTGTTAATAAAGTAATTAGTGTCAGAGTGTTTTGTTAAGTGGAATAAATTATTGCTGTGTTAATTGGACTTTGATTTTTGGAATAAACGAAACGAACAACGAACCCAAGAATTTTGTCAGCAGGCAACCCAAAGCCGCGACATTGGTGCCAAGAAGTGGGATATAAAGGACTGCAGAGTGAAATCCAATTGCGGAAGTGTGGGGACACTAGTGTAGTGTAAAAACTAAACACTAAGTGAACACTGGGACAGTTAGTGCAGTGCAAACAGTGACAATCACAAAAAGAGACTCAACCGATCGTGTGAATTACCCCGGAAGTGACTCTATCCCCGATTTAGACTGTGATAGTGAATCTTCGAGTGAGTTCTAGAAAATTCTATTTGGAAACTAAGGGAGATATCGAATTTGTGACTTCGCCGACGCATTCGGAACATCAATCGTCATTCAGAAGAAGTTTTTCGAGGAGTTTCGGGAAAATTCTAGAACATTCTATTTGGAAACCAAGGGAGATATCGAAATTGTGACTTCACCAACGTGTTTGCTGTATCAATCGACATCTAGAAAAGAAGTTTCAAGAAAATTCCAGAACATTCTATTCTAGAATAAGGCAAGTTATCCAATTTGTGACTTCATCGGCGTGTTTGGAACTTCGAGCAAAGACCAGAAAAGATATTTGAAGAAAGTTCGAGGGAAATTCTAGAACATTCTGTATATGCCTATCACAAGACAACAAGCCAAAATGGACGAACAAAAAGTTGAAGAACTCCTGCGCAAAATGTTGGAACTTCAAGAGACCAAACGACAACAAGAAAAACAAGACGAAGAAGCTAGAAGACAACAAGAAAAACAGGACGAAGAAGCTAGAAGACAACAAGAAAAACAAGACGAAGAAGCTAGACGACAACAAGAAGAGGCCAGACGACAAAAAGAAAAACAAGAAGAAGAAGCTAGGCGACAACAAGAACGGCAAGAAGACCTTGGAAAACTACAGAAGATATTCCAAACCATACAAGGAACTGTCGCTAACCTAGACCAGAAGATTGAAAAAGTTAAAGACGATGTGCAAGAAGTTAAACACGACGTTCAGGAAGTAAAAACTGAAGTCAAAATCGATGTTCAAGAAGTTAAAAACGACGTTCAGGGAGTTAAAGCTGAGGTCAAAGCCGATGTTCAGCAATTAAGACAAGAAGTTGAGGACCAAGTTCAAGCACTCGAAGATAAGATGCGTAGATTAGAA